ATGTTCGACGTTATGTTCCATTACATATGAAGGGGCATTAACCATTACCCTTGAAATTTTAACCCAGACTCTGAGATTTTAATACATTTTTAGTTAATGTAAAATTTGTTGTTTTTTGTTTTGTTTTCTGCATCCTAAATTGACAGGGTGCACTACGTTTCATATTTGGATGGATCTTATAATTGGTTCCCAAATTTAAATTCTGAATAATTTTTTTATTTAAAAAATATTGTCAGTGAAAATTTGTATTAAAAAAATATCTTCCAAAGACATGTTTAACTATTTTACAATAAAATTAAAATAAATTTGTATAAAAAATAATTCGTATTATGTTTTTCTATATCAATATAATACCTTTTCTTAAAAATTATCACCAATATCTATCTATACTAATAAAAGAATAAAGTGATTGACTGAAGTAACGATTCATCAACGCCCAGACGAAACGGCTGAATGTAGAATCTTGACATTTTGTGTGAGAGTCACCAAAGGTGACAAATAAGGCTGGGTTTTTTGGAAATTCGTACTAGAACGGAACGAAAAGTACTAAATACAGTACCATTTGTAATTGGGGAAAGAGTGGAGCTAGAACTCTGAAATTTAGATTGAGGGTTATTGATAGGATAGATGTATCAAATGGCTTTTGGACATTCGAACTATTAGTATCCGAAAAGTACAATGTTACAATTTCGTAACATATGGATGAATGGAGCTTAAAACTTGAAATTTGTAATGCGATTTAAGGTTGAGAAGTAGGTTTCGTCGTTATAAGGAGGTTATTTTGAAAGCGTGTACACATGTATACGAAAAGTACTTAACTGTACTAAATTTGGTACAATTTGAATTTGAAGAATCGGATGGTGCTGGTGTCCTGAAATGTATACGAAAAGTATTAAACTGTACTAAATTTGTTACAATGTGAATTAGGAGAATCAGATGGAGCTGGAATTCTGAAATTTGAAATTTACATTACCGTGGCAGTGTAGGATAGCGATATGTAGGTAGTTTTAGACATTTTGTATCTATGTGTACGAAAGGTACTTAATGGTACTATATTTGGTACAATTTGGATTTGAGTGAATCGATAGAACTGTGATCTTGAAATTTGAAGTTAGGATCATTTGAAGTTAGGGTCATTCATGGTATCATATAGTCCGCTCCGTCCGACTTTACTACTTTCCTTACTGGTTTTCTTTGAAATTAATAACAGATCCAATTATTTGTAATAATATGGTTAATATGGTGTAACATATTGATTACAGTGCAGTAAAAAATATTATTCATGATTCGAGCTCTGTAAGTTCACCCAAATGGTATTTTACCAAATTTAGTGCTATTTAGTACACATTAATATAAATCCAATAGAACCCATATTTCCTAATTTAAGGATTCCAGCCCGAACGCTTCAACATATTGTATTTCATTTAGAACTCATTAGTATGAATTTTCAAAACTTCTTACATAACCCAATCCTACACCATAACAGTGGTCCTAACTCAAATTGTCAGGATTTCAGCGCTATCCGTTCACCCAAAATTCAAATTGTACCAAAGTTAGTATCATTTAGTACCCATAAATATCAACAACAAACTACATCCATACCCCAATCCTACAGTAACTTTATTTCCAAAATTCAGTGTTCTAACTCTGTCGGTTTACCCTAATTTGGTACAATTTAGTACAAATTTCGAAAACTTCCTACATATCCCAATCCTACACCGCAACAATGATTCCTAATTTACCCATAATTCAAATTATGCATTTACAAAAATACATCCATACACATATCCTACATTCCAATAGTAACCTTATATTTTCTACACTCTCTCAGTGACCCTCAATGCTGCAGCAATGGTTGCTCAAATACGTCCAGATTTACATATAGCTCCCATGCATAATTGTGCTCGATTTCATACAAATGGTACACCAAAGAACCCAAATCCATTCGAATAACATGCAGTTTTTCAAAGATTTCAGAATTGTATGTGTATAGTTTGTTTTAAATTAGTTCAAATATCTATGTAGTCCACACATTTAATTTCGTAATTTCTTTAGGATATTGTACATATGTGCATCTCTTTGGGAATGTTTTTCCACCAAATTCGGTTTAATTTGATTTTTCAAATTCTTATAGAGAATCAAATCTTCCTACCAAATATAATCAATGTCAATGTTTACGTTTTGGTATAGCTTCCACAGTACATATTCGGTATATTGGAGGCTTAAGCCGTATTTTGGAAAGCTGGGTTATATATATATATATATATATATATATTTAGTTGGGGAAAAATAAATCCATTACTTATCTCCGATTTTATTGACATTTTCGACGACCGGCCTACCTGTGTGCGGTGCATCTTTAACATCAAAAATTCCAGAACGGAATCTATGAAACCAAAATTGCACATAATTTGTTGTTACAGTATCGGAACCACAAACAACATTCACAATTTTAGCTGCTTGGCTTGCATTTTCGCCTTTGTCAATGAAAAACTGTAAAATGTACCGAATATTCTCTCCGTTCACTTCCATTTTTAACAACCTGTAACTCACAACTGAATGCGCCAAACAAAAAAAAAAAAAAAAAAAAAAAAAAATGTCACCCTTCCAACGAGTATAAATCTGAAATTGTTAATCGATACTTTACGAGAAATCGATCAGGACAGCCATCAGCCGAAAATAATAGATTTCTTTTTTCACAATCTAATATTTGATATGTTTAAATTATTCTCACATCCGCTAACGAAGTAGCGGGCATATGCTAGTTCCTTATATAAAGTGAAAAATAAAACCTATGTGTAATTAAGAAGATCGCCGCCAACCATAGGCTGAGGATACATATCTGTCGGCAACATCGACTGATACTTTTTTACTTGATTTATAAAAAATTTATGTGCAATTTTCAACGACTATTTTCATATTATCGGCAATAACTCATAAGTTTATGAACGGCCGAAGACTGAACTGAGTAAATATCAACGCGTCTATTGACGCTTTAACCATTAATTACATTAGGTTCTGGAACTCAATTTTTTTTGAAAAAAAAAACATATTTATCAGTTTTTAATGGTAATTTTCACCTTCACCTTCGCCGGATTCATCTGTTTAATTTGACTTTGTCCTCATGTCATCAAATGGACTTTTTGTCAAAAATTGGGTTCCTTGCCAATAGTATATCGAAAGGTTATTGTACACACACGACCGAAATTATTAGAAAAGGACATATGTTGTATTTGGTTTATATCATTATATATCTTACTGTACCTTACAATAAGAATCTTTGGATCATCTCTTGTATCATATAGTTGGTCCGTCCGACTTTTGAACTTTTCTTACAAATTTTATGGTACAATTTTGTATCCATAATATAATTCGGTTTATAGAAGACCTGAATTGTTTCCACAACCGTTTATTATGTCCTCGTCCAGTACATCAATTACATATTACATGATTTACATTTTTGTTGTTTTTTTTGTGTTGAGCTGCAACAACAACAGAAACTTGCTACATTTCCCTCCAAAAAACAAAAACAAAAAACACACATTAAGTATCCCCATATAAAGGTATGTAAAGGGAATCATGGTTAAATATATATTTTTGTATGTATGACCAATGTAATTTTGTCGTCGTCATGTGTGAATGTATGAGGGTGTCCATATATATGTGTGTGTGTTTGAGTATATGTTTGGGGCATGCCATTCATTTGCTCATTATTGTTGTTTGCTGCTGCTGTTCGCTCGCTCGCTGTCATTTAAAGGACAGTGTCAGTTGCACTTTTGTTATGATTGCCATTGTTGTCGTCGTCCTCGTTGTTGTTGTTGTTCCTGCTGTTACTGTTTTTTCGGTGTACGATGGTATTCTTTTCGTTGTTGTTCCTGCCTGCCAATGATGATGTTGTTGCTGTCGTTGTTGTTGTTGTTGTGCATTGCAATTAACTTTGGTTCATTTTAAAATGTTTTGTGTGAGCCACACCATTATTCGGCTTCTTCCCTTACCATTAATTTTGTTATTATATATATGCATATCGCATCGTATCTGTTTTTTTACCAATTTTTATTTTTGTCCATTTTTTATGTTGTCGTTTTTTTGCATTTGCGCAATTAAAAGTTCTCTTTTTGTCTTTTACGTATATGTATATGTATGTGCGGAAATGTGAGCATGTATGTGTTTCCGAAAAAATACATTATGGGGTTTTGGGGATTATTTTATGTTGCCGTTGCAGAGGCTGCAGTCAAGTGCATCTATCCACCTTTTGAGGGGGGCAGGGCAGGGGGGATGGTCGACATCATCACCATCGAAAAAATGTTGAATTCGGGAGATTATAGGGGGATTTTCATTTCATAGAAATTTCACATTAATTGCAAATTACAAAAAAACGAAATACATGCAACCATTGGAAGTTTTGACAGGCCGATATCTGTGTGTAGGTGTGTGTTTGAATGGATATTAGTCTAGAAAATTGATTCACTGCACTTCCACATAAAAAGATAATGTATCCAAATTGTTGGCAGCTTTTGTAAATTGGTTTCATCAAAAGCATAGCTTTTTTGGGGGGTAAGGTGTACACAGCGGTTAAATTTATATTTGAAATGGTGTGTCACAAAAATATAGAAAATATTTTTATAATGTCCTGAGAATGACAAAAATAATAGAACTTTCTATTAAAAATACCATGGTAATGTTTTCTATTAAGGGAAACTAAGATTTTTAAACAGAAAAATTATCACCAATGATATATATATATTTTTTTAAATAGAAGGTCTGTCATTCATGATGGAATGTTTCTATATAGAAAAATATAAACCATGAATTACGATTTATGTAGAAATATCATTCATACTATAATTGTGTTTATGTGAAAAACATAATGTCCCTTCTAGATATATTTTTTTATTATCGATTCATTTATGTAGAGAATATGTATATCACAAAAATCTTTATATCAATAATTTTTTTAATTTAATTCGATTTGTTTTGATTTTTATTTGTGGTTAAATTTTTGGACTTACCTAACGCTCTTCAAATCCCCACTAATTGATGAATTTGGAGACGGTTTGGAACTTAAATCTAAAGGTTGTTCACCGGTGGCATCACTGGGACTGGGTGAATCCTTTAGTGAAGGACTAATAGCGGCGGCTGATGTATCTGAGGTAGTTGGTGTAACCGAATCTGTTTGAGATGTTTGTTGCTGTTGTTGTTGACTCATCCAATTCAAATCTGGAAAGGAAATAGAAAAATCACAATTTTTATAAAAATTGTTTTTTAAAATATGAAAATAAATAAATTATAGACTTCCCTGCCTTACCTCTTGGTGAGCAATGACATACGTTCCTCACTAATTATTATTTGTTTTTATACCCTAACCTTAGTGGCTAATGAGGTGTATTCACTTTGCTAAGGCAAAAAATGTATCGAAATAGATCCAATGTTTCTTTGGGCCAAATTCGTTTCGGACAATTTGGAGTTGATTTACATATGTCTGTCCGCCTGACTGGCCGGCTGGTGCGCACGTTAACTCCAGAAGGGGGTAACGAATTTAGTTCAAACATTGCACATTGTAATACTTCTTCCAAACTTAGTTCAAGTTCGAAGATGAGGAATATCATTGTACTCATTCTGGTACCTCCCCCACATAATGGCCAATAATTTAGCAAACGAGGTGAATTTTCGATATAACATATAGTAGATGATGTATAAATGTAAAGCTACGGAAGAGGTCCATTGGGGACACAAAGATGTCCATTGGGGACACAAATCTAGCGACGATGTCTATTGTCTGTATCAGATAGCTCATGTTTTGCTCATATTTGGGGAAACTACTCTGGAGGTGTTTAAGTTCATCTGAGTTGGATCCTCAACAGTAAAACCAAGGGATCTAGATCGAAGGGAGATCGAACATCTACATTGTATATTCGTTAGGCTTCGTTGTAAAAAATCTTGACTGTTCGACAGACATATGTATATTCTTCTCTTCTGAGCAATGGTCGTGACGAATATATATGTTTACTCTCCAACAAATATCTCGAAATATTCGGAGACCTCATAAAGCATATATATTTATAATGAGAATAAAATGATTATAAATATAAATGCATATATATTTATACTCAGAAAAAATCCGTACCAAAAACCAGAGAGCGGAGCAATATAGTTGTACGGAGTCGATTATATGATACCATACACAACTACCACGGAATTCTAGCTTTCTGTGGATCTATATTCCGACCTTGTTATTATTTCTAAATATTTGCACCCTCTTACAGGTCATCAGCTCCTCTTTTTTTATCGTGGCATATTTTCCGAATATTACAGAATATTATCAAACAGCCCTCCTTCGGATATGCCATCAATGATCGAGTCTAAATCCTTCATGAGTAAATGTATATGCCATAGAATACAAATTTTGTAATTTTTCACACGAAAGTCTGGGTCCATTTGACCCGATTCTACATGATCATGCTTATTCCTTGTTTAGACGCCATCCTCCGTTTGATTTTCTGGTCATCATTGTGGCCTCTAAAGCGACGAAAAACAAACAAAAATAAAGTTTTTGGTCCATTTAATCCTCTACATATTAAACGATTATTACCAAAATATGACGATCGGTCTACTACCAATATTTCACGGCATTACGAACGTTTGGGGTCACACAAAGCTACAAATCCCATACAACATAGTTGTGTAGGATATAGTTTTGAAACATGATCTAAAGCTCGGAGCAGCTCCTGTAGAATGATACCTTCAAAATGTCGGCGCTATGGCGATTTTGGTCACGTTTCTTAGCCGAATCGATTCTAATTTTGTATATAAGGTTTTCATTAGGTAACAAATCTCCCTATCAAAAATTAGGAATATTTATTACGCCCCAATATTCGAATTTTGGGCACGGGTTTTAAACAAATTGGTTTTAATTTTATAGTCTGTCTTCGTTTTTAAACCGAATTTAACCTAATTTTGGTATTTTGGATTCTCATTACTATAAATATTGGCGCAACTTTCGGGGTAACTCCCATGGTCCTCTACACTATTCGTTTTTCAGACGAATTTGCAGTATTTATTATATTTTGGGTTCTCTTTGTGCCAAATCTTTCTATCAAAAATTATTATTTTTTTTGTGCAAACCACCTCATATAATTCTCACGATCTCCAATTATCCCGATTTGCAGGCACGATATTCAACTATATTGGCTATAATTTGGAATTAAGTGTTCTAGAAGAATGGTATACATATATACTGAAAATGAAGGTATTATCCAAGATCGATGATATTGGAGGATAAAACGCCATTTTTCGTTTTTCAGATTTTGTTAGGTTTAGCAGAATTTTCGCAACGAATATTTGAAATAGGTTCCTGCGTTGACATATCCTCCTGCTATTATGAATGTTTTATCCGAATTTTCCACTGTTATTTAAATTCGGTTTGTAAATAATTTTCGATATTAGTTGATGATAATTGGTCATCTGTAGTCTTTCCTAGGTGATGGGGATGCCATCTATCGTTGCCTAGAAACAACACCTCCTTTATTTGCAGTGGTTGGGGTCCTTGCTCACGTAGTGTTAGTATTTTCCTCTTTGTGGCGCTATCTCTTGACATTCATATTTTATATATTATACTAATGTGTTGTTGTTGATGATGCCGAGGTTGGCTTTAAGAATGTCAGAAGCTTGTGAATACATTTCACCAGAAGGTGGAAGAAAGCCTCTGTTTTGCAAATATTCAAGAAACAATTTGAAATAATTCTTCTCCTCCGCTGGGATTTGAACCTATTGCATTTTTTAATTTATCTACAAATTTATTATTTTTCTACTTACTTGGTAACATATTTTGAATGGCTGCAAACTGGGCTGCCACCGAATCCATTGATGTCATTTTTTGTGTTAGTAATTTGCTAAGGGTCAGGCGATTACTACCGGTCAAAGAATTTGCGCCAGTCATTAATGCTGCGTTACCGTTCGTATTGACTGTGGACAATTTAGAAGACTCATTCGAATCGCTGTCACAATCAAGCTGAAAAGATAAGAACAAGAAGGGGAAAACATAGAAAAATATAAATATATATTTTTTTACATTTTTAAAATGTTTGTCAAAAACTTACTCTCTTTATGTGGTCCGTTTCGGACCCAGTTGGGCCAGATTCGGCCACTAGTTCACCTTTGGAGTTCAGTGTGAGTAATTTGCCGTTAATACAGAAATAACACTTATCATTCGGTTTCCAATCGATGGGTTCTGGTGGTGGCGGTGATGATGGTGATGTTTCAGCACTTTCTGTATTTGTTGGTTTTGGATTTGTGATGTTGTTGTTGTTGTTATTGTTATGTGATGAAGTTTTAGAAATCTCTACACCTTGGGTTTGTGATGCTAAATTAGAAAATAAAGAATAAAAAATACACACAAAATAAATATAACAATAATTTTAAAAATAATAAACTATTATTTTTTATATTTTTACGAACAATAATATTTAATATTAATTAAATATTTTTATGATAATTTTAATTTAATAATTTTAGTATATTTTTTTTTTAAGTTTTACCTGCTGTATCTAAATTATTTCCTTGTGATTCTAATTTTATATCAGTATTATCCTTTTCTTCCTGTTTAATGCTAGTGTGATGTTTATTAATCTGTGGTTGCTGTTGTTGTGGTTGTTGTTGATTGATTTCTTTGCGGTGGTTATCTTCGAGGTTAGAATTGTTGTTGTTATTGTTGTTATTATTATTTTTTACTGTGGATGTTTTGTGAATATCAAGTGTCTCTATATCCTCCTCAAGCTTATCCAGCTCTTTCTTCAGTTCGATATTGTTGTCTTCGATTGTTGCGACAAATTGGTCGGAATTTAAGTGGGTTCGCATTAATGTATCTTGATATTGCTTCCATTTCCTGCGCCCCATTAACTCCTCAGCGACCCGTTCTAAGCCTGAAAATATTAAAAAAAAACAACAATTGAATAATATGAGTATTTATGTATCAAGAATGTAGTATTTATTCAGTTTATTATATTCAAATTATAGATTTCAGGTTGGAAATTTCGGCTAGGATACAGTGAAACTGGGCGAGATCTTTATATGAGGCTGTGTCATATAAAAAAAATGAAGCTAAGACGATTTCTTTTCTCCATGAACCTTGAATTTGAAATTACATAAAATGCTGTAGAAATCCTTAAGTCGGGCCGAAATTCCTAATTACATTTTTGCCATGAAAAATCGAAATATCAAACTAAAGTCGCTCAGATCGGAATATTCGGTAAAATACCTAAAATTGGGGTAATGGGATTACCAAATCATGGACCATAAACTAAAGTGCCGATTTGAGGACTAGCCTGAAGGGTGGACCTATGGGTACCCAAAGTATCGAACTATAGCTTTTTCGGATGAAAAATGAGCCCAACTCCCCAAAGTTAACGAATATTCGGGGTACCGAAATAGGGTGCCACACCATAGAGGGATCGATATATCCCATATTGTAAACGGTAGACCACCCAATGAGAATCCAAAATATCAAACTAGAGCCAATTCGATGGAAAAAAGTACCCAAATCTCCAAATTACAGAACAATGAAGGATATCCAGGCCAATATATATATTTGTGATAGGGAGATTTTATATTCAATGAGAATCCCAAATATAAAATTACAGCTATTTTGGTAGGCCAAATCTCCAAAATAATGAAATTTGGCAGATATTTTAGGCCCTGTCGAATTCTTTATGAGATCTCCGGTGAACATTTCGACATGTGGCAAACGAAGTGACACCTTATAGCGAAGGATATAAAAGGAATAAAAATAATTCCTTGGAATCTCAAAAATTATATAGAATTATTAACATGAATGAATAATAACTTAATTTTAATTTCAAACTTGTACACATTTCTATAAAAAAATCAGCTATTTTTCAGGTTATGAATATTTTGGTTAATTTCGGATCGACTATCGCACGCATATCGCTGCTATGTTTTCTAAAAACGCCTTTACAAACATACATATGAGGTATGTATGGGGTTTGATTGCAAACTTCTGTTGTTGTTGTTAGTCATAAGTGTGGACGGATGAAAGCACGTGAATGTTGTATGTATGTTATTTGCAATAGTAGAAGTTATTTTTGTATTACAGAAAGTTTGCATGTTTTTTTTGTGTGCTTATTAGGGTAAGTCTTAAAAAAATGGGAAGTTTCTTGGAAGTGTCGGAATTCCCTCAAATATTGACTACATTTACTGGATAAGTGTGTAATTTTCACTCGATGGAGGAGTTCTACAAAGATCGGAAAAATACATCAACTGCTAACTGCAAGCCAATATTTACACACTATATTATGACCAGTCTGGCAAACTCTCAGCATTTCATCTCCTATGAGAATTGGAAGTAAAAAATATAACTAGCGGTAAAGTTAGGAGGCCTATCCCTAATGAAAACCAGTACGGAAAAAAGTGTGAGGAGGTCGGCTATATGAAACCCTTCACCATTTTGGGTACATACAAAATATGCTCATATGTACGATATCTTGTAGATAGAACAGACATAGCATCTTTGGAGGACCATTGAAATGGAATTGGCAGACTTGTGTTCTTTGGAAGTTATATGAATATCTGGTACATCATATAGATGAAATGGTGACAATATATATGAAAGCTATATATAAACCTAAACCAATTTCAATCCATTACGCTATGTAATATTTCATGTTATGTAAACACACATAGGCTTTCTGGTGCACCATTTGCATAAAATCGGGTGAAAATATATATGGGAGCTATATCGAAATTTGAACTGAATTTAACAAAACTTAAAACACGTCATTCTACACTCAATTAAACATGCTAAAAAAATCGAACGGGTTTAATGGTGCACCATTTACTTAAATCGGACGAATATATATATGGGAGCTACATTTAAATCTGAACCGATTTCAAGAAACCTTAACACAAAACATTTTAGACTACACTCCTTTCCTTTAAATTCCAAACGTATACTCTTCGGTGCACTATACACATAAACTGGGACGAAAATTTAAAAGTGAGTTATATCTAAATCTTACCCATCACTGTAAACTCAATTCAATATCATTTGCCAAATTTCGTGTAAATCGAACAAACATAGGTTATTTGGTACACCATTTACATCAAATCTGACGAAAATATATATGGAAGATATAATTAAATCTGAACCGATTTCAACAAAATATAACACACAACATTCTAGGCCCAATTCATACGCTATGGAAAATTTAGCCTCAATCGGACACACATGGACAGTTAGGTCTCCCATTTAGATAAAATCGGACGAAAATATATATATCTAAATCTGAACCGATTTTTCTCAATATAAATAGAGTACAAACTTGGCCCTAATAAGTGACCAATTCCAAATTTCATGCAATTGGGATCATAATTTGCGACCTGTACTTTGTTTACAATTTGGCGAAGGACAGACGGACGGACATGCTCAAAAGGAACCATGGGTATATCAGTACAAACATATGAACATAGACAGAATACCCTGAATGCTATAAAAAAGAAAGGAGATCCAAACGAAAAACTGGTGATATGACGAAGCAACATCTGTTATGCGACCCACCCTACAATTAAACATAAACGCAGGAATCGATAATTTAAAAAAAGTAGTCAAGGTTTCATTTTATTGTATGTCTCATAGCTGAGGTAATTGAAATAAACCAGCTTCAAGCGACAAGAGCGAGAGAACCCAAGATTTTCCTAGTGGGTAAATATTTTGACATAACCCTCACAATAACCCTATAAAGGTCCCTCCCCCAATTTTCGCATTTTGAAAGTTTTAGCCTCATTTGCTCACTTAAGTGTTCGTAACGTTGTATTCCGAATTGTTGTTGACCGACATGTGTATATTTTGCATTAAGTATTAAGTAACTGTAATTTGGAAGTCCTGGACTTTGGTGTTAAAAAAAATTCTTCACAGACTATGTTTCTAAAACGTACCTATACCATGTCAAACGTCATTTTCAAGGTCCTAGCCCAGTTTTGCAACCTGAGTATCAGCAGTTTGGTATTTCGTTATCTCTCTATAATTTACCATAACATCGCATCATAGAAATGTCACGATCTCGTGGTGTAGGTATAAATAGTTCAGCAAGGCAGGTCCAATATAGGATCTTATTTTAACATCGCCATCATAAAAAATGCTCCTCCATTTTCAGTACTTTGAAGATTTTAGCCTCATATGCTCATATGTAATTTGACATTCCGAATTTGTGGATGCTAACATATATCTATGCATAAAATCATAAAATTAGGTTGATATTTTGACACAAATCCCCCAATACATGGTCCTGCCCTTTTTCCATATTTGGATGGTTTTAGCCACATTTAACATCTAACAAATGAAGCTTGAAATTTCCATTTCCGATTTGTGGAGGGTGAGATAAATATGAACTGAAAATTATCAAATTTTAGCTTCCAAATTAAAGCCAACCCTCATCCTTCATTTTCGGTATTTTAAATTTATTATCCGCCTGAAGGGATTGTAATTTGTTATTTTGGTTCTCGGAGGGTTATAAACATCACAACGCGCCCATGACATGCAATAGTTTAGTATTCTGGATTCCTGGAAAATAAATAGAAACTTTCCACAAAATTTCCTTATAGTCCCGCTTAATTATTTACTATGACAAAATACGAGCCGATTTATGGAATTTTTAATGCAAAGTAAAGTAAAGCGATATTCGGTATTTTGGGAATCAATATTCGGTATTTTAGGAATTTTGAGCACATTTTTGAATCGAATAGTCTGTAATTTAACAATATGGGTTCTTTTTGGATAGCAAATGTTTGTACCAATCATTATTAATGATGACAATTTAGAAAAGTCCCCATAAAATGGTATCTTTCAAATTTCGGTATTTTGGGAATTCTTTTTGGGTGGAAAATCCTAATCCAATAAATTATCAATTTTGACTGAAGTTCGGGGTAGCTATATTTGGTATTTTGGGTATATTTGGTATTTCCAATTGTATTTCATTGGGTGTCAAATCTTCCTACCAAAAGTTATAACCAACTGTCCTCGTTTTGATATAGACCCCATATAACGGTGGCCCTAATTGTTTTGAGGATTTTGGTATGTTCAAAGTGCAATTTTCCAACATTTTAGTCTGTAGTAGATATTTCAATTTCTGCCGGCAAAAATTTACCATGGAATAGCACCCGTCGATTTTATGTATTTTGAATGTACCAGCCGAACTTAACAAAGATTTTATATATTTTTCATAATAATTTAATATATTTTAATTGCAACTGATACAAAATTTAATAATTGGGATATTTTGGATGATTTTTTTAATTTGTCAACCAGACCTGTATAAATAAGTTATTGATGCGTATGTGCAATATTTTCTTTACATCAATAAATATTGATTATACCACACCATGATAATTGCATATCAATTTGTCAGCACTCTAATATATACACACACGCACACATGTATTGTACTAAAATTTTAAAAAATTTCAAATTCTATTTTACTAAATAAACAATATGCACAAAAACAACACGATACAGTAATAGAGGAAAAAAGGAAGAAGAAAAGTAGACGACCGGAAGCCGAAACTGCCAACTAGAAAAAATAGTAACAACAACAACAAAACAAACTGCAGGAAAACTAGTTACAGTGCAAGGGACATGCATAGGAGTTGCTGCAAACAGCAGCAGCAACAACAAAAAACGTGTTTGAAACGCACACAAAAAACCATGCAATGAAATGCAATGCAACTTGATGATGGCCACTGAGAGAACACCCAGACTTTGAATTAAAAGCCAAGCAGCAGTAGCAACAACAACAACAAATTGTGACTCCTTTTTCGCCTTAATTGAGCAGTTGGCTGAATGGTTAGTGCGTTCTTCAATTTTTTTCTTTCTATTTTTTCTTCCCCCATCTCCAAAATCTGTTTTTTTTTT